CGAGGATCCAGGGCTGAAGCCAAAGCCTGAATCCCACCACCAAGGGCTGAACCTGAATGCTGAGGGTTTCTGCCCTGAGCAGCAGGACTCAGCTTACAGGCTACAGCTTTGACCTACCTGCCCAGGGTGGTGGGGATTGGGCAGGCTCATGCTTCAGTTCCCCATCCTGGGGCTGTGTAGTGATTTTTGTTGTCAGAAGGGTGTTGCAGTGCAATGACATTTGAGAACTGCTGTTATAAGGTATATCAGCAAAAGAACTCTTTCTGGAGTAAGCTGTATTTCCACTGGGAGGGTACAGCTATTCTGGCAAACCCTTTCTTGTGTAGACAGTTACTGCTGTTACTATTGCTCCCCTGCCAGGCTTTGCCTAATGACTTGTAAAATCTAATCAATTGCAATAATTAGAACATACTATGTGGAATGATGCACAGCTTTAATTACATGCCAAGGTCCCAGTGAAATGAAAACCGTAGATTCTTGCATGCAAAGTACTCCACTGATGGAACAGTCAGATGCGCACATACAGAATGGGAAATGGCTGCCCAGGAAGGAGTACTGCGGAAAGGGATGTGAGCTCATAGTGGACCACCAGTTAAATAGAGGGGGGGGTGGGGGGGGGGGGGAGCAAACATGATTCTGGGGTATATTAACAGGAGTGTTGTGAGCAAGACAAGAGAAGTAATTTTTACGCTCTACTCTGCGCTGATTAGGCCTCAGTTGGAGTATTGTGTCCAGTCTGGGCACCACATTTCAGGAAAATTGTGAAAAAACTGGAGAAAGTCCAGAGAAGAGCAAAAAACTGAGACCTATGAAAAAAAGTGACCTATGAAAGAAGATTGAAAAAATTGGTTTGCGCCAAAATTTAATTTTGACCCCTTTGGTGGGGGATACATTCTGGCAGGAGCTCATTTTCCCCTCACTCCTCCCATCCTGGTTCAAGCTCACTCTTCCCTTGAGCTTGTTCTTCCCTACCTCATCCCCTCTACCATCCCATCTCTACTCTCAGTAGCTCCAGGACAAGGAGATCACTGTCTCCACCATCAGGACCGAAGAAATTCTGCCCCTCCCCTTGAAGATTATTGTGGGGCTCTGCCCCTGCTTGACACACCCTTCTTCTTCCCCTCCACCCCTCCACCCCATCCAGGACCCTGGTTGAGCTTGTTCTTCCCTACCTCATCCCCTCTACCATCCCATCTCTACTCTCAGTAGCTCCAGGACAAGGAGATCACTGTCTCCACCATCAGGACCGAAGAAATTCTGCCCCTCCCCTTGAAGATTATTGTGGGGCTCTGCCCCTGCTTGACACACCCTTCTTCTTCCCCTCCACCCCTCCACCCCATCCAGGACCCTGGTTCTCCTTAACCTCTGAGGATAAACAAGGAGCAATGGGCTTAAATTGCAGCAAAGGAGGTGTAGGTTGGCAATTAGGAAAAATGTCCTGTCGGGGTGGTTAAGCATTGGAATAAATTGCCTAGGAAGGTTGTGGAATCGCCATCATTGGAGTTTTTTAAAATCAGGCTACACAAACACTTGTCAGAGATGGTTTAAATAATACTTTGTCCTGCATTAAGTGCAGGGGACTGGACCAGATGACCTCTCAAGATCCCTTTAGTCTTACAATTCTATGATTATAGGAAACCAAAATCATTTCTTTTGCACTAAAGATCCTTCACCAATAATGTGCATAGGCATATAGTTGACCACTGTAGTTCTACACTGTTGCAGATCTGCCATTCCATGTGCATTTTCAACTCTTATTAAAACCACCAGAGAACACAGGATTTGTATGTTACCAGCATCTGGCACCAAAAATTAATCTCTTGGAGATAACAGGTAGCCTCACCTTGGTTTGCTAAATTGCACTCTTCTCTTGGACAAGAAGGTTGTGTAGCCAATACCATAAAAGGATTTGTTCTAGAATGCAATGCTAACACTGCAGTGTAGCTTTATGAAGGGTGCTATTCTCCCAAGCCACCCTTTCTTCAGATGAGGCCTTCCTTCTACAAAGACTGTGCTTCTGCACATTTTGAGACGTGAAGGAGATAACCCCTGTGTCTTGGCCAGCATTCCCTAAAGAAAACCGAGTTTGATAACAAATTAGACAAATGCTGTTTTCATGATTTTATTATCTCAGTAGAACTGACATGTATTACCAGACAATTTCATATACTACTCTTTATATTCTGTGGCAGGCTGAAGTAAGGAAGTAGTCAGTTTGATTGACAGTAGCTCCCAGTTGCACATGCAGATTGGTAACAGCTTCACAGTTTCTACCTTGGCCACATTGATTATGTATTTATTTTTCCTTCAATTTTTTTTAAAATAAAATTATAGTGTAGCGTTATTAAATATTTTATAGAACCCAAGGATGTGCACACTATAGCTATGTTATTCTAGGATGCTGAGGGTATGAGCAATACCCCAGACTTTATTTAGGCTTCAAACCTTTACACAGTGAAACCTGATAATCTAACACACATGGGGCATGTCTCACAACTGAGTGAGGGATGGTTGAACTGCAGTATGATTTTCTTGGGAATCCGTTCCTTTGATAACTGACCTCACACCATAAAGGACTTCCATTTTCTTTTACCATCCTGTAGCAGTTTGCTTCTGTTGACCTCTTTTCTCCAGTTGGATAGTGGTATAACTTTCTATTGAGTACAGGCCCCAGCAATGACCTGATTACAGGTATAATGACAGATACAGCACAGGTTAACTAAAGCACAGCTTCTTTCCTCCCTCTGCTCAGGCTCTGGGTCAAGGAAGACCAAAAGAGATGGGTCATGATTCATTGAGCACAAGTAGATGGATCTTATTGCCTTAATATTCATTATTCTTAGAAGAAGAAGTACGGATGACAGGAAAGACTCTGGGAAAATACATATCTGTCGGGGTTATACTCCAAAGCATAGGTGATGGTTCTGCTTTTATATGTTCATCCTGAGTTGAAAAAAAAATCCTGTGGATAGTATCTGGGAATGACTTTTTTTTTTTTTTTTTTAAAGAGCTAAGGCTTCTGTAAGTCAGAACAAGGCTTGAAAATACTAGTATACTGCTCAAAGTATGAGCTGAACCAAACCAAACCATTTGTCCCCTACATCTATTATTTCTGTTGTGGTCAGTGAGTTAGCCATCACATGTATAACAGATTTGTATATTGCTTTGTTGCATTACACATTTTTTGTATATTAGAGTACTTCTGTCTGCCTTATTGTGTCTTTGGAAGAACACCAAACATCACAAGATGGTTCAAAATGAGCCATTTCTGAGAAAAGATTGCAAATGCTTTTTAACTGAGCATAAATTAAATAGTAAAGCAGAACACAATTAATGATAGTACTTCTAATGAAAATCTTAAGTTTCTTATGGCTTTTTTTAAAGTATGCTTTTCCACATAAAGTTCTTCTATACATTTGTTTGTCATAATTGTTACACTTTCACAAATAATTTCCAGGATAAACATATTCCTTTATAGTTCAAATAATTTAACTAAATGTTCAAACCATAAAATTCTATAATATGGTCTGTTGTTTTTTTCCTTTAGTTAGCTTGTATTATGACAAATGAAAGCTACAAGACATTGAAATGCAAAATACTTCTTCTAGACTGAGGTTAAAGCAATATTTGTAAAAGATAACATTCTGCGGAAGTTGTTCCATACAATGTCTGTGAGAACCTGAATTTGTTTGCCTTCAAGCTAATGGATATGGTTTTACTTCTCAACCAAGCTTTTGCCTAGTCCAAGGGCCATTTCCTTCAATCTTTAAGTCCTCCAAACTGCCATAGACATCACAACGATGCAGACTCAGGCTCTTAAGGCATTTATTTTTCTTTCCTTATATAGAATTTCTTGTTTAAAAATTTATGTTTGATTTTATATGTGATGAAATGAGAGATTTGTGCACTATAAATTAACTAAAACTGAATGTTTAATTCGGAATATGTTAATGTAACAAAGTGCTTGGTGGGTCATGTTGAATAGTGGTTATCACCCTTAGCACTAGCCTCTCTGTGGGTAGGGTTTGCAGTCCAGTCCATTTCTTAATCAGACATGCATTGGGATGGCAGGAGATCTGTGCCCCTCTTATAATAGAGGACATTGGCAGCAGAGCCACCCACTCAACTTCGTTCCAACCCCTGACCCTAAGAGGGTCAACCTTGTCTGGGCCCTGAAGGTGCCTTTTGAGTTACCCTCTCTGGATCACTTCCTATTTTTGTCTCCTATCACACTGTAGGAGAAAGGGAGACAGAAGGAAGTAACCCAGGGAGGGTAACTCAGAAGGCACCTTCAGGGTCCAGACATGGTTAACCCTCCTAGGGTTGTGGGTTGGAACCAACTGTCAGCCCCAAACAGGTTCACCAAGTAGTCTTCTTTCCTCAGGAAGCCTTCTCCGGCACCCTTGTTAAGAGCCTTCAGGGAAAAATCTGACCTCCTCCTGACCCTTTTTCTTTCTGAGAAAGGACTGAAAAGGAAGAACCCTTTCTCAGTTGGAGCGTGCTCTGTAGGTCTGGAGCAGAAAGACTATCTGGGCCCAGTATTGCCCTTTAACCCCATCAGAACCTGTGTGGGGTCATACACTTGATCACAATCATGCATTCAGTTTCTCACCAGTGAGTAAGGTTTAAAATAATTACATTTAATGCTGAATGATAACGATGACTGTTTTGCACAATATCAAAAGCTATGGCATTTTATGTTCTTTGCCTCTAGCAAGAGCATTACCTTTTTATTTTAAAATTGTAGGTCAAATTGTGCTTACTTTACTCATAAATCGACCGTGTGTAATCAGTAAAGGAAGCAGGATTTGATTTGCATGGATAAATCTAGTGATTTTCTTTGCAAAAATTAAATAAAGAAGGAAAAACAAAAGAAAATTTTAGATAATTTTGAGGTTATTTGGTGCACATAACACAATACAAGCAGTCACTTTCAAATACATTTACTTTTAGCATCCAGGATGATTTGCTAACCAGAGCCTTGTTTATTTGTTTTACAGATTTTGGCCATTGTATCTATTCTGTTCATCATACTGTCAACCATTGCTTTGTCTCTCAACACACTACCTGAGCTTCAAGAAATAGATGAATTTGGACAACCAAACGACAACCCCCAGCTAGCACACGTTGAAGCTGTGTGTATTGCTTGGTTTACTATGGAGTATCTTTTGCGTTTCCTGTCCTCCCCAAATAAGTGGAAGTTCTTCAAAGGTCCATTAAATGTGATTGATTTACTGGCCATTTTGCCATATTATGTCACCATTTTCCTCACAGAGTCCAACAAAAGTGTGCTACAGTTCCAAAACGTCAGACGTGTGGTTCAGATATTTCGTATTATGAGGATACTAAGGATCCTTAAACTTGCCAGGCATTCAACAGGCCTTCAGTCTTTAGGTTTCACTCTCAGGAGGAGTTACAATGAATTGGGTTTGTTGATACTATTTTTAGCAATGGGAATAATGATCTTTTCCAGCCTTGTATTTTTTGCTGAAAAGGATGAAGATGCTACAAAGTTTACCAGTATCCCTGCATCATTTTGGTGGGCTACCATCACTATGACTACTGTAGGATATGGTGACATTTATCCTAAGACTCTACTTGGAAAAATAGTTGGAGGACTATGTTGTATTGCTGGAGTCCTGGTAATAGCCCTGCCCATACCAATCATTGTGAATAACTTCTCTGAGTTTTACAAGGAGCAAAAACGGCAGGAAAAGGCCATTAAAAGAAGAGAGGCCCTTGAAAGAGCTAAACGAAATGGAAGCATTGTCTCCATGAACCTGAAAGATGCTTTTGCGCGCAGTATGGAACTCATTGATGTAGCAGTAGACACGGGAAAGCCTGTAGATCCAGCCAATTCAAAGGAAGCACCTGATGATAACCACCTATCTCCAAGCAGGTGGAAGTGGGCCAGAAGGACAATGTCTGAAACAAGTTCAAATAAGTCTTATGACAACAAATACCAGGAAGTTAGTCAACAGGGCTCCCATGAGCAATTGAATAATGCTGCTGCCGCTGCTTCCAGCCCACAACACCTGAGTGCTCAAAAACTAGAAATGTTATATAATGAAATTACCAAAACTCAGTCTCAGCCTAATCTTAACGCTGGCTACCAAGATCAGCCAGTAAAACCACCTGAATATGAGGAAGAAATAGAAATGGAGGAAGTTACTGGGCAGAGAAATCCGTTGCCAGCTGGGCATACAGATGTAATAACTGACATGAGAAGCACATCTAGTATTGATAGCTTCACCAGTTGTGCAACTGACTTCACAGAAACATCACCTCTTCCTCCATGCCCTGGCTCTCAAATGAGATTCCCAACTGACTCTGTTAATCTAGAGGACAACCAAAGAGCAAAAAGTTTTCAATTGATATCACTCACAAGAGAGAAAATATTTGCCCCTAGAGATGTCACTTTTGACTATACACCAATTGAAACTGCTGCAAACAATGATGGATGTGGCTCCCAAACTGTCCTGCATGGTCATTTGCATTTTGACAGTGCCGTGGAAAGCCCCAAAAGTTCTCTAAGAGGTAACAATCCATTAAAATCGAGATCCCTTAAAGTTAACTTTAAGGAAAACAGAGGCAGTACTCCACAAACTCCACCAAGTACTGTGAGACCATTGCCAGTAACAGCAGCTGCAGACTTTACACAGTCTACATCTCCGCAGATTAGCACCATTCTTTTAGAAGATAATTCAGCCCAAGGTGAAAGATCAATGCTTGGTGCTGATGCCTCGATGCTTTGCCAGGGGCCTCCTAAAAGATCGCCCCCTCTGTTTTCCACACAAAAGCTTTTCACTTTCCCTTCAAAGGAGAGGAGAAGCTTCACTGAACTAGACACTGAAGAAGAACACGGCTTCAGGGAGATTCAAGGTGTTAAACATGAAAAGCAGCAGGATATCAAAACAAATTACTTTGGGGACAAACACAGTGATGGCACCCATTTAACAGATGAGCCAAGAGTCAGCTCCTCTTCACCCAAAAGCATGGGTCACAACTGTACTCAAGATATTTACCATGCTGGGGATGAAGTAAAGAAGGACAATAACCAAGAAAGTTACAAAATGGAAAACCATTTATTTGTCCCAGAAATTCATTCAAATCCAGGAGAAACTGGTTATTGTCCTACACGGGAAACCAGCATGTGACTAGTCACAAAAGCAATAAAAAAACTCTTCATAAAACCACAGTTAGTAATGCCTGTGAACTAAAACAAGAGAAGCCTCAAAACAAAAACAAAAAAGTGCATAAAATTGTTATTTTTGCATGGCATGAAGAGTTGTTTAGTTTAAAGACTGTTTAAGTAAAGAGTTCCAAGACTGCTTTTTGTAACAAACAAACAAAAAAAGAGAAAAAAATGACTCAAGAACAATGAGTAAAATAAAGAGAGCTCTATTAGGAGCCAGTGTTCTACAAAGTCTGACATTTTTGATCCTTTCACTTTATGATTGTAGACAGATTTTAAACTCTGAACTTTTTTTTTTTCATCTTGGTTAAAATGAGTTTTAGAATTTGCACATGAAAGGATTAAATGTCAATGCATGCATTCATAATGATGTGAAACAAGGTGCTTTGAGCTTGCAAAATGAATATATTTGTAAATATTTTGGGGTTGGGGGGAGAGCTATTGTTATCAAAGATCTGTGGACAAGTTTCCTGGGACACAGGTACTTCCTTCACAGCACATTGCCTGGAGGATATGTACAGACTTATGTTGCAAAATTGCAACTTCTGCTTAAAGCATCTCACATATCTTGCTTTCTGTTAAAAAGCTCATGAGTATATCTGTTTATTTAAGGGACTTCAGTATTTCTAGTTTATCTGTCCTGTAAATCATAGTATTTGTTGTTGCATATGTAATTTAATTTAAGGATTCTTGAGAAAAAAGTAAAGATTTAATGACCAGAATTGAAGCTTTTGATATTTTATAAAAGCATTGCCAAAATTTCATAACTTATAAAAGTTCCCCATTATAAAATAACAATACAAACCACATCGTTATTGCATTGGCAATGAATAGGGTCAAATGGTCATCAAGAATGGTTTATCCAAAAAGTTTTTACTCTCAATATACTTCTTTTCAATTCTTATTTTTGCCGAAGAGTGTTTTATTTTGTTTTATTTGCCTCTGATGATCTTCTTAAGGTCTTTTTTTAAAGAATTTTCTCCCTTTTACCTAAAATGATCTTTTTTTTCTTTAACTGTGGTGTCCATGTTACCAGCCAGAGGGCAAAGGAGCAGTTGTCTTGAAGGTTGTTGCCATTGACATTCCATGAATCAACAGAAAAAAGCATGTAATTAAAGAAAAATATCACCCGCCCTACTCCACCCTCAATGACCCAAAGCCTCTTGTTTTTGGATGTACTTGAGCTCTATCTCAGCCTTGAGAAATAAGATGCTGAGCCCAAGTCTAGATTACAATGCACCAATCAGGCTCCTGCACAAATAAAGCCATTCATTTGTCCTAATCAAGTACTAATATTACACAGTACTAAGAGCCAATAAATCTTTGTAAATACATTACTCATTTAGCAGATTTTGTCAGTTCATCAATCCCCATATGTCTGATGAATAAGCAGATTCACAATAATGTAAACCAGCCAATATTTTTCCTTGTGAAAAACAAATAATTTCATTTTCATGATTTCTTCTGATTATTTTAGCAATACAGAGCCTGATATTCTTCTAAAGGTGCATCTACACTGCAGGGCTTAACTCGAAATAAGCTATGCACATTGAGCTACGACAATTGCATGTCTTATTTCAAAATAGCTTATTTCTAAATAGGGAGCGTCTACACATCACTTATTTCTAAATAGAGCACATTTCCTCCGACTTCCCTTATTCCTCGTACAATGAGGGTTACAGGAGTCAAAGTAAGAAGTCCTTCAGCTTGACAGCATTTTGACACTATTTCAAAATAACTGCCTGCTGGGTAGAGGCAAACTATGTTATTTCAGAATAGTGCTAGTTATTTTGAAATAGTACAATAGTCTGCTGTGTAGACGTGCCCTTACTGACAGTGGTCTTATAACAAGATAGGCCAGTTCCTTGGCTGAGATGATGAATTTTTCCAGTGGCTAGAGAGATAGCCTTGTACTTGAAAGACCCAGGTTTAGTCCCTTGTTCTGCCACAAGCTTCCTGTGTCACTTCAAAAAAATGTCATAGCCCCTCTTTGCATCAGTTTCTCCATCTTTGAAACAGGAAGAACTTTTACAGGGGTCTTGTAAGGAAAAATGTATCAAAGCATGTACTCGGACATACTGTGGTAATGGAAGCCATACAGGTATTTGAGATGGAGAACTGGCATAAATCAGCATAGCTCTCTTCCCCTCAGTGGAGGCAGGCCAATTTACAGAAGCTGCAGATCCAGCCATGGGATTCCATTCACTTAAACTGCACTGCCCCTCTCTTAAGTGAGTGGAACGATCTGGTCCATGGTGTATTTCTCTGAGAAGAGGACATTTTTGTTACAAAGTTGCAGATTGAAGACTACAGAGCTTACTCAAATCTCCCTCGCGGAAAGGCAGCAAGATACAACCCCAAATACCTGTTCAATTGGCTGGCCCAGATAACAAGCGCAGTGTAGTCCGTTGGGTTAAAATACGTACATCTTTAAATGGTCTATTAAGGACTTATTTTTTTACCAAAATGAGGCCAAGTGTTTCTTGTGTGATTTGAAACCTTGGCATACAGTATCATTTCTCCCTATCAGTGTCTGGTCATTAATTCTCAAAATCAAAATGCACTTTCAGTCCTTAGTTGCAGTCCAGGTAAACATATTGTTATATATAATTTTACCTATTTCTGTGACACTGCTGAACATTTTTCAATCGTTTGTTTCACTGTTCCAAAACTGATCTCGTGAATGTTTTCTAGTCGTTAATCTGCTATATTTATTTTGATTATTTACTATTAGATATTTTCAATGACTCAGACTAAATGCCAGTCCATTTTTATATGCCTAAAGTGTTGGTCCGTATTTTCTATGTAGTTTTATGAAATCACACAATGCTATTTGATCTGCCTTTAGGCTCTAGCCAAAAAAAAAAAAAAAAATGAAAACCAAGTTTAGTCCAATTGAAGCCCAGTCCTTTAGTTATGACCCCCAGGAAAACTCCCATTCCGTTTTTTAATAACTCTGTTCAGGCAATCCCCCAAGTCTAGGGTTCTGATGCTGCAATGTGCTCCATAGACATGGACTTCTGAACCTGGTCAGAGCATCTTTGAAGGCAGTGGCTTTCTATACAAGAGCAGCAATCCAAGCACGACGAGCTCATTGGAGCTTTAATCCTTAAATCATCCTTGAATTAAATCAGTCGTTTATTAAGGCCTAACTCGATTCCCACTAATGTCAGTGGGAACTCGGTGAATCAAGCCCTCATGTCTTGTGCAGGCCCATTCCTGCATTGAAACCAATGGGAGTTTGTTCAAATAAGAACTGAATAAAATGAAGTAAGGACTTTGAGGTTTGGCCCCCGGTTCAGTCAGTGACTGAATAAGGATTGCACAAGCCTTTGACTGAATAAGGATTGCACAATCAGGCTCTTATTGATCATCGTATATGAAACATTTTCAGAGAAGCACAGAAGCTTGGAATTGAACAGGCTAATCCAATGCAACTAACAGGCATGGTAATTTTAGATATCTTGAGGGCAAAAGGATCAGGCTTTAGAAATGTTTTGATGATAGTCTAGTTCAGTTAGCACATTGTTGATCATTTGAATTACATTTTCAGGAAGACAGGCTTGCACAGTGGGAATTTCCAGACTGGCCTAGAAAGCAGGAGCGCAGTCCTGAATACCTAACTCATGCAAAACTCCCAGTTAAAATATTGACCTGAGTAAAGGCTACAGGACTGGCCTTGGCCCTTCCTCCAGCAGAGAATACATCAGAAGCATGGTCCTGGGTGATTTGATTCAATAAAATGAATCCCTTTAACATTATGCAAAAATTACTTGACTACATTTTTTCTGCTTTTCCTGAGCCATTTCAGACCCAGTTCTACTCCCATTTGCTATGCATTACAATACAAGGAGACCTTTTATAGTTTGCAGGCCAGACTTTTCACTACAGATTTAACCTCTTTAGTCTGGCACCTAGGGACCTGACCGGTGCCAAACCAGAGAATTTGCCAGACCACAGGAGGTCAATATTGTCTTGCAGCATTACTTACTGGACTCTCAGAAGACATTTAGAGGTAAATCAGAGCTAAGTAACAGCACAGAACACTGAGCGCCAGGACTAGTGGCTGTAAACAAACTATATGGGACTGTGGGAAACTTAGTCACACCCATGATAAGTGGAATTCCGGCTAACTAGAGAGGTTCAACCTATAGTAAATAGATGACTCTGGTAATCTGGTTATTCCAGGTTTACACGTACTCTCAAGCAACTGAAACTGGAATCTAGCTCTTGACATCCCCCAAAAATAAAGACAATTTATTAAGATGATTTTGAAACATAAGCAAAAGTGGGTTTTTTTAAAAAATATATTTTTTACACTATTTCAGAATCCTGTATCAAAGTTTTGATGGTCAATGTTTTAGCCAAACTTAAATGTTTAAAAGAGATTTATAGCTCAATCAGAACATTTTCTAATTGGCTCCGTGATGCTATACTTAGTATTTCACTGCCTTTCTTCCCCTAGTCTACCTGGGCATTTACACCATGCTTGTTATAATACTTGAACACTTTCCTGAAAAATAAATTCACTGTAAAGTCTCATTGCTGAGCTTTGGTTCTCTTCCTAACTTCCTGTCAGGGTGGTTAAACACTGGAATAAATTCCCTAGGGAGGCTGTTGAATCTCCATCACAGGATATATTTAAGAATAGGTTAGATAGGCATCTTTCAGAGATGCTCTAGATGGTACCATGAGGGCAGGGGACAGGACTTGATGACCTCTCAAGGGCCTTTCCAGTTCTAGAATTCAATGATTCTATGATTCCCATTGCCCCCAAATGGCAGGTTTGACTGTGCAAATATAGAGAGAAAATCATCATTATTTATTTATTTACTTATTAAGGAATTGTCTCATCCAGGGAGAAGTTTTGCATTTTGTCTTGAAACAGGGTGATTCATGCTCATTGTAATCTCTCCGGGTATGTCTACACTTGCAACCTAATTCAAAATAAGGCTGCAAATGTAGGCATTCGAAATTGCAAATCAAGCCCAGGATTTAAATATCCGCGCGCTTGATTTGCATCTTCCCGGCCAGGTGCCATTTTTTTAAATTGACAAGCCCGGAATAACTGCCCACGTCTACACACGGCAGTGAAACGGGCAGTCAAAATAAAGCCCTATTTCAAACTACCTGTTATTCCTCCTGCAATGAGGAAAGAAATGCAAGTAGAAATGCCCAGAAGATTCTAAGTCTCTTAACAGTTTACATAATTGGTGTGGGTAGATCCACTCAGATGAGGCTGATGAGCAGGTTTCGGGTAGATTTTCAAAGTGATTCACTTTCCCACCATCACTTCCATTTTCTCACACCTTCACATAACAGCTTTTCATCCAGGCACTGATCTTCTTTAGGTGGTATGATCAGCACTTGATCTGAGGGACACCATCTCTGTTTTGAGGCTCTATGTATCACACTCTTACCCTAGAGTCTCACAGTAGTGCCCACATGAGGCCAGTAGCAGGAAAGGCATAGTTTCCCATCGCAACCTTATGTGATCATTCTAAGAAGCTCGGTGAATTTGCTCAACCGTAACAGGTCTTTGTGGCAAATGGGAAGCAATTTTTAATTGACTTTTGAAAGCTATTGAGAGTTCCTGCAGATGTTTGTCCCTTGTCCATGGATTACAAGAAATCATCAGCCTAAGCCATTTTAGTATCTGGATCTAGGATACTAAAGGAAGTCAAGTGTTCTTGGAGGTACTCCTTCCCAGCTTCTTCATCACTTTGCTTAGGGATCAGAGGTTACATACTAGACAACAGTAAGTGATACTGGCTGGATCATACGATGGCTGCTTGAACACTGATATCAGCTCAAAGAGGATAGTGGTAGCACATGAGATGTAATACTAGTACAAAGCTGTGAGCCAGAGATGAAATAATAGACATGTCTGCATGCTTACTCTGCTGTGAGTGTAAATAATACCTTTGGGAAATACTGTGCCACTGATATTTAAGCAGAATTACCCCTTAGTTTTAATGAGGATTTTTTCTAAAACATCAATTATATCATATTACCTTCTTTAATTTCCTTTATGTGGTCTAGTAGAGGACCATGCTCATCCTTTTGCAGAGTTGGGGACTAACACACCAATGAATATTAGTCTTCTTAATTAAAAATTTCTAGAGAACACAAAAATAATTAATTCACCTAATTCAAAATAAAACCTTATGTGGCCCAAACCTGCAAATTATATGTAACAGTGATGTTTCATCTAGGCATTGTCTGTATTCTTCTGGTTAATGGCAACACTCATAAAATCTCTGCTGAACAAGAGAGTGGTGTAGGCAATTAATTTCATTGGGTTACATGTTAGTAACACTTTGATCCTCCATTGTCTTCAATGGAAGTCACACACACTGATCAGATGGAAGATCAATGCTCATCATGAACACAAAAATAAAATGTGTCCCCCAAATATGTCCCGCATCTTCAAAGGTCACTTGCATACTTCCCCTGTAACTGAGCCCCCAAGACTCGCCCGGGTCAGCTGACTTGGGCTTGTGTGACTCAGTCAGTGGGGCTGCAAACCTGATGCAGACATTTGGGCTGAGGTT